ATACCCTCCACTCATTCAAATAGGGGACCACATTCACATGGGTTGAGGAGTGTATTAGGATATGCAACCATTTGAATGAGTGAAGGGGATTATACCAGTTCACTACCAAGCACAACTTTTTGTGCTTGGTACCAAGCATACCCATTTCTCTCTCTATATATATATACATATATGAGATTAATGAGTATCATTGTCAAGGAGGGGATTTCCCTCCTTGACGCCTATGTGGCATTATCTCCACCATCCTCATAAAGTAGGAGAGAGAGTGTGAGTAAATGCCACATTGCTAAATTTTGCTATGATGCACACAAATCTTCTAAGACTAATACTTCTTGTACGAAATGACTTAGACAAATCTTGTTTGTCGATAGCCTCGGACCAATCAATCGAATATTGATTAATACGTAATCGATCGAACACTACTTGAAAAAGGCTCTTCTGTTCAGAAACGAAATGTTCCAAATGTTCCTGAAAATTCTTGCTCCCATTGGACCATTTGTATCTATATGCATCAGGATCCCGATTCATGGATCTCTCGGTTCGAGAAATAAGAGGATCAAACCATTTCTTCTGACTCTTTTTCAAATTCGATAAATGTTGGTTGATCGTATATTTCATTATAGTTATATGATTCAGAGTATCATTTCCTATTTGATCCCTTTGAATTCCATATTCGAAGTTGCGATCGGATCTATTCATTAAAAAGAATCGATTCGATACATTTCTTATGTACCCATAAGTGCTATATTGGATTTGAATCAGATTTCGGATCAATCTATATTGATTGACTGCCTCCATGATGTTGTTGCTAGCAAATACCGCTGTTTTTAGTTTTGGATCTTCCAAATCATTCCCGCAGTGGATCCGGACCGATTTTTTTCTGATCCTTCGATAAAAAGATTCATTCTCCTCATAAAAAAGAGGAGGTAGAACCAATAAAGATTTCTTTTTCGATTCATCTCTGGAGTTGAATACCTCATTTAAGAATTTTTTTTGATCCAACCCGTAGGAATCAATAGAAAAGGCAAATCCCCTAATTTTGTTCAAAAAAGGAGGATCTTGATATATATCGGGCTCTTATGGTCAGGCCATATGAAAAAAGAGTGAATCCCCGTTCATTCGAGGTTATACCCTCAACTAGTCACCTCCTAACCAAAATCCCAAAATTCCCTTACTCTTGAAGTTGTAAAATGGATTATGGGGAAATAATGAGTTTCAGTTTTAAACAGGCATGGGCTTGAAGTAACATAAACCGATGGGTATGACTGGCACTCAGGAAAAAAGGTTAAGTGAGTTGTGTGTAGGTGTTGCTTGTTGTGCGTTTTTCTTTTCTTTTCTTTTCTTTTTTTTTTGGAGGACGGATACTACAGCCAATATAGCTAATTGCAGATAGACCCCCTGCAATTCTATTGTTACAGATAGATCCCTGAGTGATTTTTTTAGAATTTTGTACCTTCAAAGAAAGAGTAATTTTTGTTTTTTGAGAACAATAGACATCCTGAGGGTAAAACAGTAAAAAAATTCACTCAGGGGTCCATCCGCAATTGGGCGGTAGTACATGGGGTCTATCCGCCCGAACAGGACTAAGGGGGTCTATCTGCAATTGGGCCCCAGGTTGTCTATCCCCAATTAACCCTATAATAAAATACATACACGGTCATAAGATTTTAGCACAGAAAAAGAAAATTTTGAGCATCAGGACCAGCAATAGACAAATTTGAAATTTCCATACATCTTCTTAAATGTCCCTTTCGTCCTATTCATCTCCAAAATTATAATTTTCCGCTCCAATACACATTAAATAGCACTGGTTTTTATTCACATCAGAACAATCTAGAATGCTCACAATTTACATTTCCGTTTCCCCATTAAAGGGCTTCTCAGCCAAAAAGGAAACTCATTTCAAAACACATTCTCCTAGTTTTCTCACCCTATAAAAGATTAAATTTTTGTCAAAATTTTTCCCAATTTCCATAAAAAATCTCAATATATGCAAGAATCAAAGAGGAAATTATCCACGACAAGGGGAGAAAACTTACGGTGATTAGGCTTTAGGAGGCAATTCCCCATGAATCGATCAAACCCTGCCCTCCATTCTCCTTCGTTCCTCGACCCGAACCCGATATCGGATCGAGAGAAGCTCCGGTCTCCTTGAATTTTGAAGCCCTAGGAGCGCCTGATCGCCGGAGGAAAAATGGCGGGATTTTCTTCTTGTTGTTATTTTGTTTTTCGAGAAAATAGCCGGCGTATTCGGCGAACCTTTGCTCCGTTTGCTGGGGCGGAGATTTATACGGACGTCAGAGTACGAAAATGACGCTGGGGTCGGTATGTATTTACGGTTATGCCACCAGTTTTGTAGAGGGACCGTTTTGGTTTTTGCGGATTCAATTTGAGCGGCAGGCTTGGTAAAATGCCGGAGGAGGTGTCGCGTGACCTTCGGTTTTTGCTCGCGATCAAGGGGAAAACTATAGTCTTGGTCCCTAACTTAAAATTGTCTTTGTAACATACCCCTAATCGAGGAGGATTCATGTATGGTAACTCTCCACAATTATAGAAAATAATTGCTAAATAAGTAAGTTTGGAGGAGGATTAATATCAAGGAGACGCAATTATAGAAAATAATTGCACCTGATATACTCTGAAGCTTCTTTTGGAGGAGGATTAATATCAAGGAGACGCAATCTAAATATCAGATCAAAATCCACGCACCCCCCCATCTTCACTGTTGATTTCAATTTCATGGGATAAGATAAAGTGGGCATGCGATTTTTAATATTACAATAATATTTTTATAATAGCGGTCTTCAAGGCATCAATGGTTCCCAAAAGAATCTTCGCCCCTCGAAACTGAAATAAATGATAATCAATTGGATCATCTTCGGTTATCACCTAATTAAAGAGAACTACTACGATAAACACATCAATCCAATCTTACAAACGAGGCGAGAAAATAATCATAGTCGTGATCATGTTCGAAGAACTAATAGTCGTGTGTGACGTTGGAATTAGAATTAATCCTCCGTCACTAAACTAGATCTACTAATAATACATAAGAAGAGAGTGAGCAAATAGTGGAGAACATCAAAACAAAAACTCCCAAAAATAAGAACAGAAACTTGAGAAATAGAAAGATCCCACCAAGTCCCAAGAAGCAGATATCCACGGTCGTACTCATAATAAACAAAGGGAGAAACAATCCTATACTGGCCTTCAAGCATCATAATGTTACACACATCTAAAAATATATATACTTTCTGATGCAACATTAATACAATGGAGCGAGATTAAATTGATGCTAGAGCATGATGAGCACTTGTATATGCTAGAACTCAACAAGCAAAAGCCGAGGGCACAATAACTTGCTGGAAACAACAAGGGCAAAATGAGCTCAATTTATCATGATCGGCATCTTACGTGCACATGGAATATAATTAAGCATATCCCAACACACGCAACAGGATATTTATGAAGAAAATAAACAAAACTCATCCTGAAACCTGCTGTTAGGCTTTGTTTCAGTATTGAGAACACAGACATTCAGACCCTTGTCAGAAAATTGCGGATTAAAGGTTGCATACAAGAATACATGCAACCTCTTGGTGCTCAGATCTGTTGACCGTTTATAAGCTAAATAAAAGGGATGCAGTCCAATAATCGTAACATATTGACATCATCTTCACGAAACAAAATCATTCGAGATGTAACCAGCAGGGAGTGAGCAATATCTTTAAGGAACAAGTACTCCGCGAGCCACGAGGAAACAGTGATGCCTTGCGGGTGTTGTTAAGGGCGGGCAAGAATTAATGCAGCCAGCAGGAAGTGAGGAACAAGTCTCTGCGGGTCACGAGGGAACATTGATGTCTTGCGGATGTTGTTAAGGGCACAGAACAACATAACTACACGCTCCAAGCCCGCACCAAAACCACCATGTGGTGGAGCACCATATCTGTTGACAAAGATGTATAAATATTAATCAATCAGAAAATAATATACAGAATGCATACCTTATGTCCTAAAAGTATAAGAACTTATTCTCGTCCATACTTGTCAACTTCACAAACACGACTTCAACTATGCACAATAGAAGTGATCAACTTCAACTTATTCTGATGTTTAGTGTGTGACATGATATGGGTGTGTAATATGGGAAATAACAAAGTAGTACTGCAGCATTGGCTAGAAAATCTTTTTATGTACCTTGGAAGTTGCGACCAGTTACATTTTTCTGGATATAATAGAAAACATTGGTGAAATATTTTGACTATAGATGATAAAGGTTATGACTTGCATTTAAGCTAATGTCGATCTTGGATCGCATATAGTCAAGAGTCTACAACCATAACAGTTGCATATATGTGAATTCTTATGCTTTTTTTGTTAAGCGTGGTATACTAATTGTCGGACTTGCAAATTCAAAATTTTTGATGTTCTGCTTGATTATATCACTATAATATTAATTTTTGGCATCTAGGATTATGGGTAAACCTAAAGACCGACCACAAGGTGTTGCATCTCAAGACTATAGGCTCTCTGAGAATTGGGGTGTGACACTGCTACAGAGAAGCATTCTCGATGACATAGTTAGCAAGATTCGATAATCTAAGGAAAATGATTGTTACTTGATGCTTATGGAAAGAAGGCCAAAAGTAAGTTATAATTAATTTACTAATTAGTCTTCATCTTTTGCCATTTACATGCAACTGTACAATACTATATGGGAGCATGGTCCTTGATGCTCAAACTCCAAAGGAAAGCAAAGAGATCAAGCTGATGTATGGCCGAATAAGATTTCAGACCATTGATAAACTAAAGCGAGTATAAACTGCAAAACTTTTCCGCTTTGAGTCCTGTTTCCAAATGGTTTATTAATAAAAATTACATAGGACCAAATGGGTACTTGTAATGTATCGTAGAACTTATAAAATGGGTTTTACCCGGGACGATACGAGTTGATCTGGGGGATCAGAATCAAACTTGCACATGAAAGTTTGAAACTTAGTCAATGTGCCATATAAAGCTCATAACTATAATCACCGTCATCTGATCCTGTCCCATCAAAATGAGGCGTTGGCTAAAGAGCAGAAGTGTCTGTTAAATATTTGACAAAAAAATCCCAAATTTAACTGTCGAAGTTAATGCGTCAAAGCTTTTAATTGGTGGCCTACGAGCAAAAGAATGGTTTGATGTAGATTCTACAAGGCCAAGTGGCAGACAGAGAAATATATGTTGTTGGGTGTGCAGTGTAGAACTACGAAACAAAGGCTTAACCCACCAAAATTCTCCTAGAATTGAGCATACAGAAGAAGAGAGATGAAAAGACTGATTATTGGATGAGAATGATGATCAAGTTGCTTTAGGAAATTGCATTAAAGAAGATGAAACAAAAGAATCAAAGAGCATAAATCCACCTATTTCAAAAAAGAAAAAAAAAACTCATAACAGTAACATTTTGTTGTGCAAGAAACCATAATGAGCAAAAAGAGAGAAGGAAAATCCTCAGGGAATCTAAGAGGAGTAGATAGACTTACCGGAAGGAATCAATGTATGTAGATATTGTCTTTACATCAATGCCACACGCCTCTGCACCAGAAGTCAAAAGTTCCGGCGAATGTATTCTTTGAGCCCCAGGGATTATCTCCTCACCTTGAAGAAATTAGGAAGTTAGAACAGCAAAAGAAAATAAGCAGTTTTGCGTTTTGCGTTTTCATATACAATTATTGCGCTTTTTTAAGTTTGATTATTGTATAAGCTTTAACTAATTAATCATCTTTAAGTCAAAATCACAGACCTAAACTTGCATGGGACTACAGTCTTCTTTAATAAAACTTGTACTATAGGAGACCAGGAAGACATCAGAAACCACAATATCATGAGCTGGCTTAACAACTTAGAAGTGTGTGTTTGCGTCGGAAATCAGTTTCTTAGTGGAATCCATTACAAGTCGTTTATCGATTACAATAGATTCACGAGATGTAGCCTTTTTATAAGACTTCTCTACACAAAAGAAATACACACAAGACTTCCTAGAAACACACGCAGAGATCGCTTATCGGTCGCTACTTGCGTGAGATCTTTGCCTGTGTCGGGACGCTTTGATCTGTGGACCGCCGAATAATAGATCCGGGTTGATCTGAAAGAAGGCTCAGTGTTCTTTGTTTCAATCGAGAAAACTTAGAACATAAGTGAATAACCTCAACAAAGTGAGATTACTTCTCTTCTCAAGATCAAAACAAAGGTCCGCTCTCAAGGGAATGGGTGAAAAGCTTGCGGATCTCTCGAAATCCTCTCTTTGTGAGCAGGAATTCGCCAAGATCTCGCCTCTCTTTCAATGAAATTCGTGGGTTCTGCCCTCAAACCGTCAGCAACTTGCCTTCAAGTCCAAAATTCTAGATTACCCGTCACAAATGCACGAAGGGGGGTATTTATAGGCTTCAAACGTTGTGTTTGTGGATAAGATCTCGTGATTTGATCATATCTTCAGTTAATAACGGTTTTCCCACATTTAAAGATAACCCCAAGCAGTTAGGAAGCCACGGGACCGCACGAATCCCTAAAATCTATCGAAATACGCTTCGGCGGGAGGCTGACTGGGCGAGACACAAAAATTTGTGTCTCGCACATGTGTGCGAGACACCTTTTGGTGTCTCACTTGCGAGACACTTTATTGGGTCTTGCATGCGAGACACATTCTGGCTGTCCCATTTCACCGTTTTGTTGATTTGCATGCTTCGTTGGTTCGTCGATTCGTGTGTTCTTTTGCTTCCTCTTGGCATCAGATGGTCCTCTTTGACTTAGATAATGGCGTTAGTCGTCTCCTCTTCATCTCGAGCTGTGTACGGGAACCTATAGGCAATTTTTGACGCCTACAGATACCCTCTCTAAAGTTTTTAGCCTCCTCAATATTTATTATTGAGTCTGGAATACTTTGGATAAGATAAATTCAGCCTTCAGTTCTTAACTTCTTCAGCTTTCAGTCTATTCAGTATTTTGTTGAATAGTCTAAAATTCTTCCGGTGCTACGTTTATCGTCTAACCGTTGTCGAAATCTTGAACTGAAACTGGTGCGTTGATACCTGAATTAGCTTGCATCGTTGAATCGACATTGAAGTGGTTATCTTCGTCGGGAGCTTGTATCTGGATCGCGATTGAACTCCCAGGGTTAATTTTGACTTGGCATTTCATCCTAAGCCTTATTTTGGCGAATTTGTTAACGCATTGATCGGCGTTAACCTCCGTTGTGACGCGTTGACCGATGTTATCATTCATTGTGATGCGCGAACACAGTTTATACTCGTGCGTTAACTAGAGTCTTCACAGTTTAAGCTCTTAAGACGTTGGAACGTAGAGAATCAGTTTATACTCGTATACTCATCGGAGTTTCGGGAATTAGTTTAACCTCATATACCTGTCGGAGGTTCAAAGAGATACAGTTTATACTCGTATACTCATCGGAGTATGAATACGTACCCTAAATACATCAAAAACGGGAGAAAACACACGAAACTGACCGCGGGACCCACCCTGTGTGCGAGACACATGTTGGTGTCTCACACACATGCAAGTCACCCGCACGTGTCTCGCGTGCAAGACACCAAAAGGTGTCTCGCATGTGAGGGTAAGGGAGAGAGAGGGGTTTGGTCCTGGGAGCTTTTTGTGTGAATTTT